TCGGGCTCTGCTGTTGTGCCAGGTGGTATACGTGAGTGGAGGAACTACATCTACCCAATTCTTTGCGATGTAAGAACATTGGCATCTGAAACAGAATATGGAGGTGGTAGTGGTACCCTGGCCTCTTGGAATAGCTGATCATAAGAGGTCATCAAAACATCTCCCAGCTGGAGGATGCTGCACCATCCCCTCAGAACAAGGGATTTGGGGACATGTCTGGTCCCATTCCTGCACTGCTCATGAGAGGAACAAATATAAAATGTAAGAATTTTCACACATTGCACCGGTTTGTTATTGCTTCTTGCATCTCCTCATTTTCTAGGATCTTCAGCTTGGGAAGGGGATTCCTTGTTGATGAATAGAAAAGCAAGAGCCGGGGCAGATACAGTCGAAGGGCTGCTTGCATCATTTGCTCAGGATAACCCAGAGCTCACGTCACATTCCAGACCTGCAAAGCAGAGCCCAGGCACTGACGTTAATCACAAACTAGCTTTGCGATAACTTGGTACAAGCTGTACCCATTGTGAACATGGCATATGGGCATGTGGGTGTGGCACTTGGGGGAGGCCGCAAGCTGCCAGGACAGCTCTGGCTGCTGCAAAGTTTGGGAGCCTCTGGGGCCAAGGCAGAATCCAACATGAAGAAGGTAGATCCATAATCAAGTTGCAGCTCTAGGACAGTTCTACCCGTGGTGCTCACCCGCATGGAGCAGGGCAGAGGTGACCCAGAGAGGAAATGCTGATCTAGTGCTGGGGTTGAGGCCCAGCTCTGCCACCGATTCATGCTCTAGTTTTAGGCAACGCCCACGGTCCCTGTGCTTCAGTTTGTACAATTAAAATGTGAAGAACAGACTATGACTGCTGGGCAACGGTGCTACAGCAGGGCCCAGGACGAATTCCATTCAAAAGCTCATTGAGACCTTATTTTAAAACCTCCCCCCCCCCCTATCTCTGATGCGCTGCTCATTTTTCCTTTAAGGAATTTAATAGTTGACCAAGTGGCCTTTGGGCCATCACCAGCCCTCTCCCAAACACTCCTGCAGAGCTCACTAGAGCAGAAAGCAGGGTAACGGGCAGGCTCAGCCTTGTTCTGCAAGAGCTCCGGGCTGTGCAACCAGCCCCACGCAACTGCCCAAGAAACTTGTGTGCTTCCACTCCAGCCGAGCAACTGCCCTGCACCAGTACTAAGCAGCTGCGGGGGGAGGAAAGGGACTGATCCTTTGTACCTCGCAGCCCCAGCAACTCAAGGTTCTACACCTTCTTCCCCCCACCCCCTTCATCAGGCCTGAGTGAATGGGTTTTGTGCAGGGGTAGGCTGGGGAATTCAATTCCTACCCCCCCTCCACCCACTCTAAGCCCCCCCAGAGCATCTGCCAAGAGATGCACAGCAACCCATAGCTACAGTGATGTTAACAACACCTGTGCCCACCTCTCACACACACACACACACACACACACACACACACACCCCCCCCAGAGGGCTGGAGCAGTGGATCTATGAATTTGGGATTCTGCAGCGACAGACCAGCCCTTAATTGCTAATCATGTTAATTACAGTACGGCCTGAGGGGCCCTTTGGGCTAGGTGCTGTCCAAGCCCTGCACTCCCCCTGCTCAGGGGGATCAGGCCCCTCTGGAGCAAGCCCTGAAGCAGCTGGCTCCCCAGAAGTCTCTTGAGGTCCAGCTACACTGCAGTAAAGGACCCGTGGGACAGCACAGCAAAGGCTGGAGGTCCTGGAGCTTGGGGCTAAACATTGCAGTGTAGACATTGATTTGGGCTTGGGCTGGAGCGTGGAATCTAGGAGCCCACAAGGTGGATGGGCCTCAGCCCAGACTCCAGCCCAAGCTCAGATGTCTACACAGCAACGTTTAGCCCCAAAGCCTGAGCCTGTGTAAATGGCCCTGAGCGCTGACTCTTGGGGCAGTGGGGTTTTTATAGACGTCCCCTTTGAGGACGAGGCTCTACGCCCACCAAGGCAGGGGCAGGATCTGGCCCTACATTCGCCTTTGTAGCAGGCACCATGCAGGGCTCTGCCAGAGAGTGGAAACCAGGTTCATCCACAGCCAGGCAAAGCCAGGGTGATGCTTTGGCTGGGACAGAGATAAAACCAGGAGCCTTGTGGGGTGGGTGGGTGGGTGTGGGTGTGTGTAAAAATGTTTGCTCAGAGTTTTCAGGGGCATGTCAACCCCCACATTCAGGGTATCCACATACTGAACGCCAAAGCAAACAAAGTGGGTGAAGTTGCCTGAGGGAAGAGATGGTCCCCTTTCCACTCAGCTGCCACTAACCTTACTCACGGGGCAGGGGTTAGCCCATCAGCTTTATCTAAGATAGCTTCCCAGGCCAGGACGTGCAGGTCCCCAGGATATCTGAAGAGCCCTGTGACCCAAGCTAATCACTCGGGACATTGGACGAGTTCTTTGGGGGGTGTCTAGCGAGAAATCTCTTGCTACCCACATCAACCCACCTCCCTCTTGGATGGAGTTAAGGATTCTCACCTCTGTTACCTCCTCACCTCAGGCCTGTAGCTGGCTGCAGCTCCTGGGGCTGGAAGAACCCAACAATGATTCTAGGTGGAGTCACGTAACATCCTGGGGCCTGGCCCTTTCCACAAATCCTTCATCAGTCTCACTCCAGGTGGAACGGCCCATCCCAGCATGCACAGCAGTGGCAGGAATGGACAACAAGCTGGAGCCCAGTGCAGTTGTCAGAATTTTGTCAACCATTGAGAAGCAAAAGCCATGGGAGAAACCAAGCTGATGTTGGTTATTACTGCAGCAGGCGAATGGGTGATCTAGAGGCGGTTACACTGCCCGGGCATCACCAATAATTGCTCCGTGGAAACCCTTGTGGGACACATTTTATTTTTCAGTTAAAAAAATATATAAACAACTCCACGGCTTCCTAACAGTTATTACAATAATCAAAACCACAATGAGCAGACTAGATACACATCTGTGAACAAACAACTGTCCCGGGGTTGGAGAAGGGCAGAGGGGGCAGGCTGGGGAGGGGAGATGCAGTTAAAAATGTCTCATATTAAATCACTCCCAGGCCCTCAAACCTACTCTGTGAAACAACCCCCCCGGGCTGGATAGGTCCTTGTGGAGACCACAACCACCACCTGATCCCAGCTATTCTGTTGCTCCCCATGTCACTCCCACAACCATCCCTCTCTCTCTGCCCTCCACCACCATCCCTCTGCCTGTTGAGATCTTTTCCCCGGAGAACATCCCTGACCCAGACTCGCATCAGATCTCCCCCATCACACCCGTGCTGTTGTCGCCCAGCTTCAGACAGTCCCTTCTATCTTCCCCCTCAACCCACCCCTCACTTTATACCCTCTCCAGATGGGACGCCGCTGCAGAGAGTCAACACTGACACCCAGCTGCAAAGGTCACATAAGTGCCGAGCAATGCATGGCACTCTGTCCCGTTCTGCGGGTTGTCCCTCTGCCCTGCTGCACTTGGGGGCAGAAGCGACACCCCGTACTCAAAAAAAAACAGGAATCAAGCCAGTCTCTTCCAACTAAACTAGACTGACCTAGACTCTTCCTGCCACGAGGAGATTAAGCCAGAAAATACCCACCTCTAGCAATGCCACCAATGGGCAGAATCTCTGTATTCCACCCACAGCAGAAGTCTAAAGCCTGCACCTACCATTAACGACACAAACCCACCCCACCCAAATCACAAGGAACTCGCTTCCACGAACCTGCACTAACGTCCGTAGTGTGTGTTCATGTTAACAGCGAGACGTCTACTCAGCTCTGGCCTCCCTCAGACCCAGGCAGACAAGAGCCATTTGAACACGGGACCAGCCCCAACATGCCAGGGCAACAGGAAAAGGGACTCTCGAAATTAGATGAGCAATGGTTGGACTTCAGGGCTGCCTTTGACGGGAGCATACAGCATCAATAGCTCCTTCCTTAGCCCACTGAGAACGCCTGTATTCAAGGGTTGCCTTGATTTCTGGTTGGCCTGGGGAGCAGAGGGGGCAGCTTAAATATAGATTAATGTCAAGATGAGAAAAGAGGTGCATGAAAACGCATTTGAACCCAAAAGCTGCTGGCTCCACAAGGTTCCTCGTTAGCCAGACAGAACGCGGCACTCTGGGACTTCACAGCTAGACCACATGGAAAGAGGCAGCAGAATCCGTTATTTCTAAACGTCTCACAATGCCCCAAGTGCCTCACCTATGGGAGCCCTGCAACCAACGCTGGCTGCTGACAGCGGTGAAAGGAGAGGCCGAGACTGCAGGACAGCAACTCTCTTGTGAGGCTAAGGATTGGGGCCCAGGGCTCTGAGCTCAGGAGCTAGCTTGTCAGGGCCCAGTTCTGGCTAGTTCAATTTGGGGCTCCATAGACAGGGTACGTCATGTGGAGGAGGGAAGAGACGGTCCGGACTGGCAGCCAGGGGCACTGCAACAGCCTAGTTTGGGGCATCACCAGGAATCAGGTTTAATGGGGGGGTGGGGAATTCGCTGGTTTCAAACAGCCCAGCTGGGGCTATAGGAATTGGAACTAGGGATGAGAAAGCAGCATTTTGGGGGAGCCAGAAGACTTGATGTTGGTTATGGGGTGAACACGGCCTTGGACAGGCCACTTCAGGGCTCTGGGGTGGGGGATTTAAGTACGGAGGAGGCTTAAGCTGGTATTGGGGGCTAGGCAGGGAAAGAGGAGCAGATGCGCTCCTGGCAGTGTGATCCCAAGATGGATCCATAGGGGATGGGCTGTGGGGTTGAACACACTCCAGGGATTTGGGGGGGGATTGTTTGGGGGGTTCTAACATGGCACGTGGCTCAGGCAGTCCCTTCGGGGGGGCTCGGGGAGTGGGATGTAGAGGTTAGGAAGTGGAAGGCTGCAAGCAGAACGAACTCTGCCCCAAGCAGCTGAGTGCACAGCTCTGGGAAGCAGGGGCTGGGTGGAGGTTGTGGGGAGGGCAGTAACCGGTATGCTGGGGCACGCGGCCTTGGGCAGTCCAGCTGGAGTCTGCGGGGAAACTATTTCTGCATGTCACACTGCAGGAGGAGGACAATAGAGGGGTCGCTCTTGGCAGCTTCCTTGAACTCCTCCAGGGTGATCTGGTCATCCTTGTCCTTGTCCATCTTGGTGAAGATCTTGTCAACCCGCTGCTGGGGCGTCAGCCCGTCCTGGTTCATTCTCATCATGATGACCGTCCCCACCATCTTGTAAATGGCCTGAGGCATGAAGGACAGAGGGAAGAGGGGTGAAGTGCCCAGGAGGGCCCCTTCTGCATAGCGGTAACACCATGCTAGCAGGGGCAGGGCTGAGCGGGTCCACACAGCAAGGGAAGGGGTGGTTGTAGAACAGACAGGTGTACCCATGTTCGCTTTAACTCTTGCTAGCTGGATAACAATAGCACAGCACAGGGAGACATAGGCTTGTACTGGATTGCTAGCCCATGCCGCCATAGCCACACAGCTACTGTTAGCCATGCTAACTGGATTAATGGGTAGGCTACACACCACCCCTTCACCTGAAGCCCTGCCTGCCCACCCATGCTGCTGCTGTTCCTTCAGCTAGCTTTGATCTAGCTCAGGTGAGTCTACACACGCTGCAGTCACACCTTACCGACTGCAGCGTAGAGACACCCCCCTGGCTAGGTCTATGGTACACCTGCACTAGCTTGCATTGAGCTAGTGTGCTTTAAAAAGTAAAGTACATACCAGGGGACAGGTGTGATGGCATCAGGTGGCTACCCTGGACCACCATCCACGTAGCCATGGTTACACAGCTATTTTGCAGTGTGCTAGTGCAGGTAGATGCACCCGCGCCAAAAGTTACACCCTAGGCTGCAGAGTAGACATACCCACCCGCTGGTCTCTTTTCCCCTGCTGCAGTGACTGTGGGCCAGACTGTCTGCGGACGTAGCCTGGTGCCATTCCAGTCAGCACAGAGCTGCATCAATTAACGCCAGCAGATGTGGCCCTGCATGGCTTCAGGGCCCAGTCTGCACCCGAGGCAGGGCATTCATTGCCAGAGGTATTTCTGTGATCGAGCATGGGGACTTAGGAAAGGGAGAGCAGCCTGGAGGGGAGAGCTAATGCTCTGGGGGAGATGGATTTACCACTAGGGGCCAAGGTTGTTTATGACCCATGGTTTGGGGCTTGGTTTATACTGGAGTTGCTTTTGAGTTTGGACACTCGTGAGCTGCACATTTTTTGAAGGGGCATCTATTCTAGTCACTTGGTCCCGCTCTCCAGCCTCCCATCAGTGCTGGGGCTAATGATCAGAACCAGCCCACTGCAGCATCTTTGACCCCACTGTCTTCACAGAGACAGAGAGGCCAGTGCATTCCAATACCTCAATTATTTCTAGCATCTCCAAGCGGGTTATCTTCCCGTCTCCATCTAGGTCATACATCTCAAAGGCCCAGTTCAGCTTCTGCTCAAAGCTTCCCCTGGAGGTGACGGACAGGGCACAGATAAACTCCCGGAAGTCGATCGTCCCATCGCCATTCTTATCAAATGTGCGGAAGGCGTGCTGGGCAAACTTGGAAGCATCTCCATAGGGGAAAAACTGCAGGGCGAGAAGAGGCTAGTAAGAGAACTGGAGAGATAGAGGACCTGCGGTGCAAGGGAGCATATGGGATTTGTTGCTGCTTAGAGACAGATACATACAGAATCAGTATTTCTAACAGAGAGATAGAGTATAGGGCATCAACTTAGAGACAATAGCCAGGGGGGAAAGGAGTAAGATTTGGACCTATTGGATTCTAGGCAGAAATCTGTGAAGGCCTGGCCGAACCAAGAACTTTAGAGGACTTCTTAAGCCTCTTACTATAGCGTGGGGGCTAATCTAAATTTTAAGGGAATCTGAACTCTAAATATGGCCACTTTCTATCACTGCAGAGAAAGGGGTGTGGGAAAACACCAGGGCAATCACATACTTCAGGAGACAAATTCAGGGCATGGCTCAGCCTGCAGATAGAGGGTAGCAAGGAAGGTTTTAGGGGCAGGAGGTTATGTTCTTGCTCTGATTGGACTTGGAAGGAACAATCAAACATTCGGTAGCTTAGAGCACGGTCAGGGGCTTCTGTGGCTCCAGCCCAGGATCCTGCTAGCAGAGGGAGATCTACTAGAGCTTTGCAATAACAATCCATCCCTCAGGCTGGGCTGCGCCAGCCACGGCCAGCGGTGAGTCCCAGTTTCATCCTAACCATAAAGCTCTCCAGAAAGGTCAGGGTCCAGCCAGCACCAGCAGTGAACGGGGCAGTTCAATGGTGCTCTTGACCTCTGGCTGGTCTAGCACGACTTTCACCCAGGTGAGTTAGTGGTTTCAGCTAGTCACCAAATGCAGCCTTTTAAACAGCCGCAGCCCCATGTTTCCCGGCAGCTTACTCAGCGCCTGCCCCCATCCATCAAACACTGACCATCTTCTTCACTCCCCTGTACCTTGATGTAGAGCTGCTGGAATTCATCCAGGTTGAGGATACCGGTGGGACAGTCCTTCAGGAAGCCCTTGTACCACTGCTTTAGCTCTTGCTCACTGAACTCTGTGCTTCTCACCAGGTCGTCCAGCATCTCGGGGGCCAGCTTACTGTTGTGTTTTCCCATCACTGACTCTGGAAAGAACAGCACAGTTCCTAGATGCTGAAGTACTGACAGTGTTAGGGAGACGGCTGAGAGACAGGAATTCTTGGGCTCCCTTCCCAACTGTGCCACTGACACATCTCTTCATCTCCGTGCCTCAGTTCCCCCCCCCCGCTCCCTCTCTGCAAAATGAGGGTAATCGTGCTGACCAGCCTCATGGGTGTGTATGGGAGAATTCGCTAGTTAAGCTTTGTACAGAGCACTGACATTGTCAAAGGTCTTGGAAGCATCAAGTATCAATATTACCAACGTTTCAGAGGAGATAGAAACGCGACTGGAAAAGCCTGTGACTGATGAATATGACTCACTAGCCAACTCTCACACAGATCAAAGCCCTGAGAAGATCTGCCTACCCTCCCCACCACTCAGTGGGGTTGTTTGTGGGGTGGATATTTCCATACTAAGCACATCTCTTTGGGCCTTAACCAGCAACACTTGCAGTAGCATTTGTGACTAGGGCCACTCTGGCTCCTACAGAGAAGAGACTCAACAGCTGATCCCAGGAGCACCATCTGACACCACTCACTTTTCAAGTCTTGTCTGGACACCATGAGACAGACCTTGGCCAACACCCCACCTACCAGTCATTGGCACCTGCCCTCATGGCCAGTAAAACCTCAGCGGCCAGCAACTCCGTCTCATGGCACCTGCCACACTGTAAGATAGGCTTCAGGAGCAGCTGAGAAGGCTCACAATGTTGGACTCCTGCTGGAGTCGCAAGGCCATTAAGAATCATCTTGTTCAGAATTTTTCCTGGGATGTCGTCACAGGCCCCCCGAAAGCAGCATGACGGGGTGGAATTTTGAGGACACGTCTCGCCGCCAGGGAGTTGCAGTAGCAGCTGGGAACCCTTTTCCTCTCTTCCCCATGGCTGTACCAGGCCAAACCGGCCACCAGGTAACAAGAACACCCTCCTTCTCCCTGGAAGAGAGCAGGGCACCTTAATGCCGCGTGCTCCGGCACACACCTCTGGGGATGGAGTCAGGAAGGCATCAGATCTGCTTAGTAAGGAAGCCTCCAGCAATCACCCGATGCTGTCGGTTCTAAGAGTGCTAGAATGTCTCTTGGCCAAGAGACAGCCAGCTTTCACTCAGTGCTTGGGCAAGGCTGTGAAATCAGAGCATTCGGTGGTCTGGGCTATGAAGGGTTAAATAAATTAGTATTCATAGAGGAAATGAAAGGGGTGGAGCAGAGCCCAGGGGAGCCCTTGTCAGTGTTTTGGGGGTGGTGTCACCCCCAGCTTTCAGACGCCAGGAGGTAGAAGATAATGTTTTTGGAACAGTCTCATCGGTGAGGTTCCAACTTAGGATATAGAGTCGGCAACACTTGCGCACGACTCTCCTGATATTTGAGGTTGAATTTGAAGCCCTGGTGCCTGCAGTCCTGTGAGAAAAGAAGAATCTCTGGGTTTTTAAGAGTACGTTTCTAGCCCTCATGGAGACAGAGGAAGAGCTTGAAAAGTGTCACTTGAGCGTAGCCCAAGAAGCTCGGAACCAAGAAGGCAAAGAAACAGAAGTCCAAGTTTTTTCTCTAAACTTGTAATTTTTTTAAGCCACAGTTTGTTATTTTTGAATGTTTGGGTTTGGCAATCCTGAGGGTCCGTCCACCCCCGCCCCCATTACTTAGCTCAGACAGACCGATCCACCTTTTAGTCCAATAGGCGTGCGCTTAGCCACATCTAAGAATTCCAGATAGTGGAGTGTTGCCAGCACTGATATAGGGAGGAATTTGAGACATCTCCCCACCCAGAACACACCCCTCTTCTCCACATAAGGATGGCTGCTTTTTCCTCCTGATGCAAGTGTCAATAGACTAGATCCAGAAGGAAGGGATCGGGGAACAAAGAGGGCTGCAGGAAAATATTTGAGTAGCTATAGATAATAATCTGGTGCTGTTTGCTGTGGTCAGAGGAGGGAGGCATGATTTCTGACTTCTATTCGTGACTCTGCATTGCTCTGCAAGCTCAGGCAAGTCACAGGTCAGCCTTTGTGCCTCAGTTTCCCCATCTATAGAACAGTTGTTATACCTGTTCTAACAGGAGCACTGTTAGTCTTAATGAGTGCCTGGCAAATGCTTTGAGAGTCTTACATGACAGGTGCAATATAACAGCAAAGTATTTACTGTGATGAATTCCTGAGTGGGGAACCAGTGTCTAATGAATTCCAGCGATGGATGCCAAACCCCCCACTGTGGGAGGTTAACTAGGGAGCAGAGGAGAGGGTACAGGTGCTCCAAAGAGCTCATTCCTAGCACAACACCCCCAGACATAGGTCCCAAGACAGAGCCCAAGACTTTCAATTCTAAAGCAGATACCTCTACCACTTGAGCAAAAAGGGAGTAAATCCATGAAGCAGCAGCAGTAGGCGCTCATCCTTCGTGCTCTAACCAGCAGAGGGCGACATTTAGCAAGCGTGTTACATTGGGCTGCAGTATTGTGGATGTCATGATTTCAAAGGTGCTGCTGGCGCAGCTCTGACATTTGCCTGTCTGCATCAGTCAGCCCTTTATAAAATAGCACTTGCTTTCATGCAGCTGCTTTCATGCCTAGGCTCTCCCACGGCCCACAGAGAAGCAAAATACTGGCAAGTCAGGCACTGCCTAGGCAAAGAAAGAATCTGCCTAGTTTTCAGCAATCGCTCCCACACAGCCTGGGTCGTTATTTGCTGTTTAATCGAATGGCAGATGGTTGGCCAGGAGGACACTGGTGTTACCTTGTACGCCCCCCCAAAAAAAAAATTTAAGAAAACTGGATGTTTAAGTTCATCAGGAGACAGACCAGAACAACAGACAAGCCCAGATCTCAGTTTGATGCATCTTCCAAAATATGGCACTTTAAGTGCAAGTGATTTATAGACATCTGCTTTGGCACTCCTCTCTGTCTCCCCCTCCATGCCTGCCTCTTCCTGTACTGTCCTTTCCTGGGTTTCCCAGGACATCTTGTTCCTTGCCCCAAGATAAGAGATAGAGACTGTCACTGACGACAGTCTCAAAATGCTCACAAATAAATGATGCTCCTTCCTAGCATAGGAGTCGGCAGCACAGCGCCTTCCTGTTTCTCTATTAGTTCCAAGCCCAAGTCACAGGGTGGGACTTGAATCTGCAACCATCTGTCTACAGAAGTGACTGAGCTGATAAGTGCCTCAGTGCAATCAACAGAAGTTTTGCCATGGATTTCAGTGAAGATCAGAGGCTGTGCCAACCTTGTTTGGGATCACAAGCCAGTTGTCTAGTCTCTTGGTACGGATGTTAATGGCTCTGCGTCCTGGATACCGTGCAATCAGGCATGCAGGAAGAGAGCTCGTCCTGTAAGCAGAGCTGGCTGGCGGAGGGACCGTCCCACCCTGCACAAGAGAAGGTGTCCCCTGCTGCGGTGTTCTCCTCCAGTGATTCTCGGCATTGAGCAATCGGAGACAATCAATGTAGGCGTCTAGATCTGCAAGTTTAACCTTCAGCAAGGTCAGGGCCAGGGATGTCACTGGGTCCTTTGATTTCGGATGGCCCCCCAAGTATGGCACAAGGGGCTGCCCCATTGCTGAACAAGAGGAGAAGTTCCCAATTACACTAGGCCAACATCTCACCCCAACAGCCGCCTTGCTCAACCCACTCACTCTCTCCCAATGAAGCATGGTGGAGAACTGCTGGAGGGGGAGAAGCCGGCTCCTGGAAGAGTGTAAGCTCTACCCAGCCCTTGTCTTTAAGTCACCCCTTGAACCTCAGCAGGTTTCTCAGCCGAGGTGGATTTTGCTCCAACACACATGGGCCAGAGGTTGAGGAGGGGTGGGGGGAGGGGAACGGAACTGAAGACATGGGGATTTTATTATGGGACTCTGTGGCACTATCTGGGAACAGAAGGCAGAACACCAGCAACTGCGTGCTTGGCACTAACATTTCATCTCCAAGCTCAGAGCCGATCCCAGAGAGTTACTGGTTGGAATGAGATCTGCTGCTAGTGACAGGCAGGGACCCACTCAGGACACCGTATGATGCAGATTCCCTCATCTCCTCTGGGGGGAGCTCTCCCTCAGGGTCTAAATGCACCAAGCCGCTCAGCTACTGCTCTCCCTCACTCTGCGGGTGGAGTTTAGGGTTCGTATCCTGCCTGGCGCCCACCTCCCCACCTTTACTGCAGAAACGGGCTAGAACGATGCCACAGCCTTGGAGCTCTTGCTCTGCCATGGGCATTTTGCTTAGACAAAGCAGAAGGATCTCTAAGCAGAGTGCGGACGTTTCAAGAACCCCAGTTTAGGAATTCCCAGCTTTGCTTTCCTGGAGCTCCCCCACTCCCTGATGGCCCCCACCCTGCCACACCCCAGAATAGTTGCAGCCAGCATCACTCACAAACTGCACCCATCCCAATCCTCCTCAGCATCCCCGAGGTCTCAACTGCCGCAGACATCAACGGGAGCTGAGGGCACTTAGCATCATGAAGGACCTGGCCTTGTCCTAGCTTGGGTCTCTTTTCTGTCTATTTCCCCTCTTCCTCCTGATTTTGGGGGATTGTCCCCCCCCCCAGTGACTCCCCATCCCTGCAACTTCACCCACTGCAGAAGCAACACATTTGCCCCTTCCCAGACACACACAATGGAGGGGCATGTCAATGCAGCTTCCCCTCCCCCAAAAAACAACACCTCTACACTCTTCCCCTCACTGGACTGTCTCCAGGCCCAAGTGGGGCAGACACTGCCCAAATTCCTGGTGTCTCAGACATCCCTGCCCGGGTCAGGCATAGGGAGGCGCAGCTGCGAGGGGACAGAGGCCGAGCCACCCCCCTTCACTCCCCTTCCCCCAGGTCTCTGTTTGTGCTCACGCTGAAGGGGGGCAGGGACAATCTCCTCATTACTCTGGTACATATAGGAGCTGGTGCTGAGGAGGTTGCCATGGCGACAGCTCCACTGTGGAGAGATGGTTGCCAACAGTAGCAGCATCCCTGAAGCTACCAGCCAACTCTTCCCCCTGTGCCTTTT